ACCACCTCCCCCACCAGGCTGTGTGCCCTGTGAGAGCAGAGGCCCTGTCCCCACTCACCGTTTCCCATGACAGCACATGGCACATGTCCGTGTAAAAGTGTGTAACGTGGGGCCAAACCTGATGAGCAGCTATGACGACATATGTTGTCTACCATTTATTGAGTAGACTTTGTTTCTAATCTTAATTATTAAATCACATGAGTGAAACTTGTTTGTTTTGAAAAATAAAACAACAAAGCACACCTCAATGTGATTGGTACTTTGTACTTAGCCTTCTGGCCCAGGAGGGGATGTTCACCATCATTTTTTGGAGGAGGTTGGGGATGTAAAGTAAGAGAGTTAAATCAAGTAAAGTAAAAATGATAACTATCAGTTGGCTTTATTTTCACTAACATAAAAGTTACTTTAAACCCTATCTCAGCTGTTGTTCTGTTGTTTTAAACATTTCTCATAGAATTAAATGGAAGCTCACTAAACCCTGAAAGGGAAATTGTGTGCTCAGGTCTTGAAAATTGTTTATGTCTATTTCTTGAAATGCAAATTTTCCCTGCTGGTTACAGAAAGTGGAGGCGGGAACACAGCAGTGCACTGTGAGTGTCTGCCAGATTCTCGGGCTGCTCGCTGTCATTTTCATTTTCTTGTGTTGCAGTTTATGACGGTTTTCCATGAGATACATTGCTCAGCGTTTTCCTGAATGGAGGATTGAATTTTCCACAGGAAATCTTATGAAAGAGAGTGACAAGGCACATGGGTTTCCCAAAAAGGAATAGTTGATGTAATAAACTCACACTATGGTGAACTATTTTAATACAAGCCAGTTGAAAATTTTATCACTAGGTCATATGCCAAAAATCTGTCTTAAGAATAAAAAGATTCAAATTTTATAGAAGAAGCAGTTTGAATTAAGTAGAAATTATGATTTGTACACTATTTGTTGTTAGAACTTATACTCAGTCTTATCATAATCGCCTGTGGTAGGAACTGGATCATTATTTATTTATTAAAATAAAAATCCATCACAACACCTAGAGAAAGGACAAAAACCACATGATCATCTCAATCAATGCAGAAAAAGCATTTGATAAAATTCAACACCCATTTATGATAAAAACTCTCGCCAAAGTGGGTATAGAGGGAACATATCTCAACATAATAAAAGCTATATATGGCAAACGTACTGCCAGCATAGTTCTCAATGGTGAAAAACTGAAAAGCTTCCCACTAAAATCTGGGACAAGACAAGGATGCCCACTATCACCACTCCTATTCAACATAG